TTTCATGATGTGATCAAGGCGTATCAGGAACTGACTTCCGAGACGTCATGGGCGTCGGAAAAACAAGACCGCATGTCCGGAAGCAAGAGCAGCTTCCAAAAGGGCGGGCCTCATGCGGGGGGTCCAGCTGGCACTCACGAAGGACCGGATTTGTGCGGGAGATTATCACAACCCCTCGCAAGATAGCGCACGATCGCGCTGGAGATGATCACCGCGCACAAGGACAACAAGCGCAAGATTATCTAGGACGAGGAGGAGGAGGACCAGGAGGACCAGGAGTCGTAAAGTGTGAGCCCATGTCCTGTGTGTACGTCGGTAGATAGTGTAGTGTTGGAGATATGTGCGTAGACCCCGCCCTTGTTTTCTTGTGCGGTACTTGTTTTACACTACTCCCGAGAAGTCCAGTTACGCATGAAAAATCAGTTTACGGGGGGGGGGGTGGGTACCCATCACGCATGCACCGTACCTTCTCCTCCGCCTTGTCCTCGGTTTTGGCCCGCTTCTTGGACGTGCGCATGGTGGACGTGAAGGCCGCGAGCTTTGCCATCGTGGAGTCCTCCCTCGTGCCGGCCTCCTTGCGGCGCTTCTTGTACTTGGCGCGCATCTGCTCCACCGGGGAAATCATCTCCCGGTGCATGTGCTCCTGCCGGCGGTAGAACAAATTCGACCGTTTTGGGCGTACTCTTACGTTTTGCATGCCTTAGCGGCTAGACCATCGGCCACGCGTCCTCGAGAGGACGGAGCATCGTTCCTACTTTGCGACCGTTTTTTTTGGGGGGGGTCGTTGTCGTTGTTGTTGTTGTGGTTGTTTGGTTGTTGTCGGTGTTGTCCTTGCATTAAAAATCTTTCGACCTCCGCTCACAAAGTAGCTTCTAATATCTGTGTACTGACGCGGACACCTTCCGTGGCCATTGCGCCAAGTACTGGTACGGGCATCCGGGTTCCCGACGCCTTGTCAAGGAAAAACCATACTTTTGGAGTGCATGTATCTGTTCATGTAGTGATGGCGTTTTCTCCTACTAAAGCATATTTGAAGCGCTTGCTCAAGCTTGTGGCACAGTACCAGATAAATTTGTCCTTGTTGCGCGTGAGGGGGGCCGTTCACCAAAAAAATGTGACCCCAAGAGGGCATTATTTTGATCAAGGATCCCTCTTCGAGACGAGCACACAGCAGTTACGGAGTGGGAGAGTCAATGAGCCCGATACATCTGCAGCAAGCCCTCGCCGCGCTTTTTGGTGTTGAAACTTGCTTGGCTTTGTCGTGTGGAGCAATCGGTGTAGGGGGGCTGTCATCTTTGCGCCTCATCACGGAACCCAACAAACACCATCAGCGTCTCAACTCACCGCATCATACTTGGCCCTCTCTTCCCCCGTCATCACCCTCGCGGCCCTGTGCTTGGCCTTCATCTCCTCCCGCAGCGACTCGTACTCCTTCGCCCTCTGCTTGATGGCCTTTCGCCTGGCCTTCTCCTTGTCCGTCTCATCGTCCGCGTCTCCCCCTCGCCAACCGGCACCGGTTGCCCCGCTCCCTTCCGCCTCCTTTTTCTCCTCCTTCTCCTCCTCCTCCTCCTCCTCTTCTTCCTCCTCTGGTTCGAAGTCAAGAGGGTCATCGTCGTCGTTGTCACCGCCATCTGCTGCCGCTGCCGGGACGACGGCGGCTTTCGATTTCTCGAGGGCTTTTCGCTTGTCCATCATCTTCTGCCGCATTTTCTGCATGAATGCGTCGCCGTCGTCCAAGGGCTCGGGGTGATCCGCCCCTCCTCCGCCACCGCCGCCGCCGCCACCACCAGCACCATTGGAACTCCCCGCATCTTCCCTGCTCAAGGTCGAAATTACGGACAATATACACATGTGCCGATCAGGGGAAGCACTGCTGTTGTTGTGGTTGCAGGATTGACAATGTCTGCGAACACCAACCACGCCTTGTTGTAGCTTGGCCCACGATAGCTCTTCTTCTTGTGGAAATGACCATGGCCCATACATACGATCGATTTTTTCCGAGTAAAAATGCCATGAGCGTCTTGACTGCGGGTGTCGGGGTGTACTCAGCACTAGATACGGATCTCCGGAGATCTAGGGAGTTGAGTGTATCATGTTGGAATGTACTTGTAGAAGGGCGATCCCCTTCCGCCGCGCGTCCCCTCTTGACTCGTTCGTAACAAGGGCCCTGAGTCAAAGCTTTCTTCGCATCGCCGACGACAAGCACCCACTACCCAACAGCAGGGACGGGTATCGTTTCGTTCCGTACCGTACCGTACCATACCATACCGTACCATACCGTCGAGCACAGGTTGTTATCATAGAGTTGAGTGCAGGATCCACGGCAGAGGTGTGTTTCTTAGGCCTTTTTTGTGAAAAATTGACCCTCTGTTTCTTCACGAAATACGCCGTACTTCTTAACTGCGGAACCGTACCGTACCGTCCCATCCCGTCCCGTACACACCTCGCTCCCTTCCCGGCGACGGCGGCCGACTTCACCGCCTTCCGCAGCCCGTCTCCGGTGGTAACCTCATCCCCGTTCTTCACCCTGCTCAACTTTTCGTCGTAGGCCGCGTCCTTGCTCAACTTTTCGTCGTCGAGCGCGTCGTGCGCGCTCTTGATCCCCCGGCCGGCGGACTTGCTCCCGCCGCCGCCGCTGCCGCCGGCAACCAGCGCGTCCAGCTCCTTCTCCTCCTGGTCCGCCTCCTCCCCGAAGGAAAGAAGCTTGAAGTCTTTCTTCCCCTGCTTCTTTCGGCGCTTCTTCTTGGCTTCGGCCTCCGCGGCCGCGGCCGCGGCGGCGGCGGCGGCCTCGCCGCCGCGCCCCGAGAGGTCTCGCGGCACGATGTCGTCGAAGGGGTTGAGGAGGACCTCTACGGAGATCAGGCGGGGGGGCTCGAGAGGCCGATCGTCCTTGTCCGTGTCGATGTCGCCCATCCGGAGAGCGTTGAAGATGGTGTTGCCGGTGATCTGTGTGTATGTCAAGATGGGGGGGGGGGGTATACTCATGTAAACGAATGTCACTCAGGGGATGCCAGGGGGGGGGGGGGGAGGGGGGACTCCAGCTTCTTTTCGTACTGATGACCGCTGGGTATGAATTTATATTTTTTTTGGGGGTTTCCCTTCCAGAAACAGTAAAAAAACCCTGGATAACTGCCTCCAGGGGGCTTGACCATCTATAAACCCTTGACCTCCCATCCCTATTTATCACGCCCGGACGGAGCGACATGCCGGGTTTTTTCCGGGCCGGGGTTACGTTTTCCCATCACCAAACACATGGGGGGTGGAGGGATGTTGTGTTGGCATTGCAAGGAAAAGAGTGAAGAGTCTAAACAGTAGAACGGGGGCAGGGTTGTGCCCGAGATGGGAGCGTGAGATGGCTGGTCATACCGTCTCCGTTCGTTTCGTTGTCTGGGGTGACCACGGCAGAACACTCATGCACAGAACCACCACGTGGCCGTCTCTTTACGAGGGCCAACGCCACTGACCCCAAAACAACACAACCGAACACGTTTGTTTGCCCTATAAGGTAAGCAGCACGTCTGCCTCAGTCCAGCACGTATCCCACCACTACCGCTCCGTAAAACTGGTAACCAACCCCCCCACTGCTGTCTTGTTGAGCCTGATAGCCGCAGGGGAGATGCCGATATACCGTTGGTTGCACAAGATATCACACCCCCTGGGCCGATTTTCAAAGCTTGGTTACTTGGCAAGGAAAAAAGTGACGGTGACGAAAATGGCGGAGTTGGAACCGTCCCGTCGAGAGCTTTCCGAACACGGTTCGTTTGCCTTCGGCATATTCTTGGTCGTGGAGTAATCGACCGTTGAAAATCGATCCAGGGGTTGTGATATCTTATGCAATCTACGGTACGCTGCTCGGGGAACCGCAGAAGTGAATTCAAGTTGGTTTTGTCGGTCCTCATCATTGCTAGTCTATCTCGGACTCGCATCTGTAGAAGAGATGAATTGGTTGTGTTGAAGAAACAAAAAACTTCTCGCGAAGCCGAGAACTGTTACCACATGTAGTACGCGTACACACCTTGCCAAAGATGGTGTGCTTCTTGTCCAGATGCGCAGCGCTGTCTAGCGTGAAGAAAAACTGGCTGTGGTTGGTGCGGGGCTCGTTCTCGTTGGCCATGGCCACCTGCCCGCGGTGGTTGAACTTGATGCGCGTGTGGATCTCGTCCCGGAACGGCTTACCGTAGACGCTCTCCCCGCCCTTGCCCGTGCCCGTGGGGTCTCCCCCCTGCACCATGAACTTGCGGATAATTCGGTGGAATACCGTGTTGTCGTAGTACTGCTCGGGAAAGGCGGCAGACGGGCGCATCGGCGGGGGGGGGGGTAACAAGTTAGAAATCAGGAGGGTCTGCTGTAGAGTTTTTTTGGGGGGGTCGATGGGCAGGAAAGGGTCGGGTGGGTGGTCGGAAATCGGCGCAAGAGTTCGGGAAGGCAGGATGGGGAGGTTATCAGCGGTCGGGAGGGAGGCTCCAGGGGGGTGTATCGTAAGAAGAGGAGAGATGGCACCTCTCCTAGACCGATTTTCAAAGCTCGATTGCTCCACAACCAAGATTGTCTGTACCGTACCGTATACCGTACCGTGGTATTCCGTAAGAGGCGGAGAGATGGCACCCCCCCTAGACCGATTTTCAAAGCTCGATTGCTCCACAACCAAGATTGTCTGTACCGTACCGTATACCGTACCGTGGTATTCCGTAAGAGGCGGAGAGATGGCACCCCCCCTAGACCGACTTTCAAAGCTCGATTGCTCCATAACCAAGTGGGTGCCGAAAGAACCCGATTCGCCTACAAGTTAGGAAACCCCTCAACGAGATGTTTCCAAAACCCCCATTATGGGTGTTAGCTCAACCCTGGCTGTGGACCAATCGAGCTTTGAAAGCCGGTCTGGGGAGGGGGGGGGGGTGCCATCTCTCCGCCTCTTACGGTATGGGAATCCTCCTGTCTTACAAGTACATAGCACGATAGTATTGCTGGTGTGCAATCGTGGGTAAGTTCTGACTGCAAATCACATCGCTTGTAGTTCCACGACGTCTTCCTTGACGTCGTTGTTGCTGACGCCAGAAGGTACAGTGCCTACGGCAAGGAGAGGCGGCGCGTTTCCGGACGGCGGTTCAGGCTTTGCTGCCAGACCTACCATGTGTTGTTCCCTCCCATCTCACGCATGTCTAGACTGCTGTATTTGTCTCTGAAGAAGTATTCTGGTGCACTGCAGCGGTGAAAGTAGTACCACTGCTACTGCTGCAGTTCGGGGTGTGTGTATGCTGCTACTGCTGTAGGCTGTGCTCTTGTTGCATCATGGTCGTCTTCACTCTAACAACAGCACAAACAGCGGTGTGTTTAGACTTGCATGTACCCACCCGCGAGCGCTTTCCTGCTGCTGTGGTCTTGCGTGTTGTGTATTCAATCTCTGTTAAGGTATCACCGCGGATGCATTGTTGGACAAACGGAAGATACGAAGGTCGACCAAAGCAGTACTGCCGGCGTGCCGTTCGGCACCTACAGCAGCAGTAGTCTACCCCAGGCAACCCGCCACCCTGCGTTGTACTGGCCGTTGCTCCAAAGTTGGGTCTTTCGCCGGAAGCGCTTACTTGCATCAAATCAGCCCGATACAAAGGGCTTAGGCACAGGTTCTCATCCGTTCACGACTACAGAGAAACAACGCCGTGCTCTGTGATGGTTTCTCACACAGGAGTACAACCTGCAACGTCTACCTGTGGTGCTACTGCTGTACAACAAGGTGCCTGCTGCTGCTGTTGACGGCTTTCTCACTCACCCCTTCCATGGCAAGCTGCACGAAGTTCCGGCAAGCCTTGGGGCACTCCTTTGCCCACAGCTCGACATCAATGTCCCCGAAGGACGTGTGGAGAAGTACCTTGCCATGGGTGGCCGGCTCCGTGAGGTAGATGTTCGACATCTTGCAGCTGCAACCTGCATTTATCTGCCCACCCACAGCAGTCGCCGCAGCAGGTGCGCTCACCTTCTAAGGGGGTGTCGTGTATCGAAAATTTGAATAGTCGCATACGTCCCTCTATCAACGATCCCCTGCAGCTCTTCTTGGCCAGGGCATCACAGCACAGCACAGGTTTGTCTTTGCCCACTCCTCAAGCACACCCTGACACTGGTCGCGCCTCTGGCGGAGGTCGCGCACAAGGAGAACAATCATGGACAACGCCGGCATTGACAAGGTAGGCCGGGAGAATGCTATGAAGTCTCGTACCATCTCGAGAGAAATAGTTGGGATCAAGGCGCTGCTGCTGTTTCCAAAACCCGCGCGCCCTTTGCTTGCGGGTGCGCGTGGTCTCGTTTCAAAATGCTGCACGTGCCAGGCGTCCGCGTGTGCCCAAAGACCTTCATCCAGGATGGTCAATTCAGGGCTAGGGGCGCCAATCTGTTGCGACCAGTGTCGAGCCGTCGTTTTTCAACGGATCCCTTTGTTTGGAGAGAGCTCCGCCTCTCCTCGCCAGAGGACCGACCTCCTCGTCCTCTCTCGACACAGCAGCCCGTTTGCCGATCGCCGGTTCACATCTGCTTCTCTGATATACAAGCAGCCCGCGGACTGCCCTTGCTTCCCCCAAGTCAGGAAGACTATTCCACCTATGTCGGGCATGTACTTCACAACCTATTAATATAATAATAGTCTAACCCTCCATCGCAGGAGATGGAAGAGAGCTGGCGGGATGTGGACCCAGCAGGGGATGTCCAACGGGGCGGCGCAACACAACAAGGGAGCAGCGTGCTTAACACGGGTGAGGCCCGGGTACAACCTTCGCCTAGTAGGGGCGTGTTGATGCTAATACAGGCGCGGTTTAATTTGTTTTGTTGCCACCGATCATAGGCATGCACATAATCTTTCTGTATCGTGTACTTGCAGTCTACCAGATGAGAATACAGTGGGGCCCTCCCGTGCCTTGTGGTGTGTCCCGAGTTTTTAGCGGCACTATACCTGGGCACCCACCGGCACTATTCAGAGTACAGAACGACCTGGTATTTCAGGTGTGTGCGAGCCAAAAACTTTTACAGTAGTGGTCCCGATATAGTGGCACCCTGAGTAGTGAAATGCCCTCAATAGTGGCATCAAAATCTCTTGTCACAATCTCAACCCGATATAATGTTATTGTACCACTATTGAGGACGGGGCCCTCAATATTGAGGACGGGGCCCTCAATAGTGGCATTTTGGGCATCTCACCCCCCCAACAGTGGCAATTGAAAACGCCGGAGCCTCCCTGTTTTTCACCGCAAGCTCTGCCCAAAGACGCAAGGGAGATTTTTTTGTAGAACGTTGGCAACATGTACATCAGAGAGGACACATTTTGTGACAACGAGGTAGAGCTAGGCAACACCGAAGATTCCGAGAGTGAGAGAGGTGGAGGGATGAACGCACCGCCATCGTTCGCGGAACCGTCTGGGATTTTTGGTCCTCTAGAAGAGTACGCGGAGTCGTGTGGCATTGGCGAGGCCAGGCATTTCCTCCGTAAGGCAAAGATGGCATTCTTCGCAGCACTTGCTTACTCTTCACGCTACACCACACTTGAACAACCGCCTCCTCAACTCCTCAAAACCCGCCGCACATAAACTGCACAGCAATGCTTACTCTTCACGTTACACCACACTTGAACAACCGCCTCCTCAACTCCTCAAAACCCGCCGCACATAAAACGGCACATCAATGCCAACTCTTCACGGCTACACCACACTTGAACAACCGCCTCCTTCACTCCTCAAAACCCGCCGCATATAACGGCACAGGTTTAGCTCTTCACGGCCACACCACACTTATAACAGCCGCCACGACCAGGGCCAAATTCCTTCTCTCACGGCTACGTACATACATGGACACCACACGTGCTCTCCCCCGCCCGCAGGTCGCGAGGCGTACCTCCGCACGAAGCAGATGCTCGACGAGGCCTCCGCGGTGAGCAACACGCTATTCCTAGACGAAGTCGACATGTCCCGCCGGTACCAGCGGGCCTACGAGCGCGAGGATGCCTTGGACGCCGCTGCCGCCGCCGCCGCCGCTGGCGGTAGCGGCGCGGGCGGTATGCCCGGCGCAAACAGCAGCAGCGGGTCGGGTTTCTTCAACGAGGGCTCGCTGTTCTTTGCTCCCGCTGGCGGCGACGGTAGGGGTTCTTCCTCAGGAGGGGGAGGGGGTGTGTTGGCGGCCGTGGCGGCGGGCAGGAGTGCGCCGCCGGCGGCGGCGGAGATCCGCCCAGAGGAGAAGCAGTTTTGCGAGGCGTTCCTGGAGCTGCAGGCCTTGCTGGTGAGTGCGGCGGCGGCGGTGGCGGCGGCTGCAGCCGCGACTTTTGGTGTTGGCGACGCTCTTGATGTACAAGGTAGTGTGCTTGCGTAGTTCGCTGTCCGCGTACCACACGGCTACTGCTGTCGTGAGCAAGAAGGCAACTTCAGCTACGCTCGATGTAGTATGCTTGACGTAGTCCCTGATCCACACACACGGCTACAGCAGAGGAAAGGAAGAAGGCACAGAGCAGTAAGTGCCCCCCAACGGTTAGCTTCATATGCTATCATAGTGAGGCAGACATATGTCATGTCGTCAGGAGAGTCCGAGGATGCCGGCAGGGGCGAGGCCGCACCGACTCACGAGGGAACTCAGGACGGCCGTCGACGACGTCAGCACCAGGTTGGAGAAAATGAGAAAGTAAATGGTAACAGAGAACGAGGTTTCGCAGATTCCTACCTACGTCAACCCTTCCGAGCTGAAGTCAATCGTTTCCTCGGTGGGACCAGCCTAGGGGGGCGGGGGCGAGGTGGAGGAGGGCGTAGAAGATGTCCTATTCGCTAACTCCGAGCGACTGCCTGAGCCTCCGAATGTTGGGCTCCATCGTCGCCTCCTACATTGGTCTCTGCGTTCGGCCCGTGCCTCAACCGGGTCCTGTACGCGGGCAGCCTTTGCTGGATAGCTGCCAGTCGCCGGG